GCGCACTTTGAAAACCTTATTGTGACTATTCCAGGCCAAGCTAAATGTTTGTTGAAACGTGCATGTATGAATCTCGTGCCAATTTTTAGATATCGTGCTAACAAGAAATGGGAAAAAAAAAAAGATCTGACAATAACAAGAGGTGATCCGCTAGTGTAGCGGATCACCAAAAAGATGATCCCTGACAATAACAAGAGGTGATCCGCTAACGTTAGCGGATCACCAATAAGAAAAACTAGATTTGAACTCGTCACTGAGGACGAGTTAGGTGATCCGCAGTACTTTGACCCTCACGAAGCACGCACGGTTCTGATTGAATAGTATTATATGCTAAAACATGCTCTATTTAAGAGTAATTTTGAGCATTTTAAAAGGAATTTTAAAGAAAAAGAGTAATTTTGAGCATTTTGAAGACTTAAGAATGTGTACACATACGTCTTAACGTCCTTTCGCACGGTAGTATTAATACAGTGTCACAATCCCAACACATGTAACCGAAACGTAATTTCCAGCTTCAGTACGTGCTGTGGGCGCGTAAATTTTGGAAAGTTTTGGAATATTCAAAATGACCTGAAACTTGCTTTAAATTATCTGAAAAGTGATATTAACAATTTTAAAATGTTAACGCACAAGTACGCATACCTTATACGACGTGCCTGACGAACCTTGTCAAGTTTAATTTAAAACCCCCTGTTGGTTGGTAATGGAACACGAATTTTGCCTTTACAGTATACGAACTTTCATCCTATGGAGCTATAACTGATTAAAAACATGCATGGTTTTATGCATATATAAATGTTGACGCACGCGTACGCACACGTAAAGACGCGCGAACTAAAAATTAAGGTACCTGACATTCAACCTTGACCTGAAGATTATGCTCACCTAATATGATTGGGAAATGACAAATGGTTAAGATTATATGGGGTCATCAACGTTTTGAAGAAAGAGAAATGAGGGGGTCAGAAAAAACAATTTTTTGACCATGATGACGTCATCAAAATATAAAAAGGTGTCAAATATTTGAAAGAGAATTGTCTCAGCTATAACATACTCAAAGCTGGAAGACGTTCGACCAAGGATAAGCGAGATACGCTCAAATGCGTATTTTCAAAAATGACGTCATAGCTATAATTCACTTCCTTGAATTCAGATGCCAATATGATGACGTCACAATGTCCGATCAGCCATTATGATC